ATTCCTCAAAAAATAAACTTTTCTACCCTTTTAAAAAAAAAAAAAAAAAAAAAAAAAAAAGACCTAACAAAACATGTTCAAGTGGATATGTAGCAAATATAACTTATACTCTGATGAAAATATAAAATGGTACTACCACTTATGAACCAGCAGTTCTTATAAACTTAATTTCTTACAAATTCAAACAAAAATCTATCATATGACCCAGCAATTCCAGTTCTAGGAAATGAAAGAAAAATGAAAATATATGTCCACACAAACACCTGTACATGACTGTTCATGGTAGCTTTATTCATAAAAGTAGGGATTGGCAAATACTTTCTTAGGTGGTAATATAGTAACATTTTAGGCTTTGGGGCTATGTAATCTGTCACAATTACTCAACTCTGCCATTATAGTCTGAAAGCAGTCATGGAAAACACAAAAAGAACAGGTATAAATGTTTTCCAATAAAACTTTTCATAATAAGAGGTGGCCGGTTCCTTAGGTTGGAGACCTCTGATAATAGCCAAAAACTGTAAAAAATCCAAATGATCATCAACAGTGAATAGATAAACAAACCGCATATCCGTATGATAGAATAATACTCCCAATAAAAGGAATGGACAACTAATACATAAAATGACATGGATAAATCTCACAAACATTATGCTAAGTGAAAGAAGCTGGCACAAAAGACTACATACAGAACGATCCCATTTACATGGAACAGCAACAAAGATAAATGCCACCTATCAAATAAAAGAGCAAATTAGTGGCTGCCTGAGGCCAGGGGTGAAGGATGAGGACTCACTGGGAAGACATACATGGGAATTTTTTAACAAAGATGAAATTGTACTACATATTGATCATGGTGGTTATACCAATGTATGCAATTGTCAAAACCCAAAAAATGTACACTTAAAATGTGTACATTATATTATATTGTAATTATATCTCATAGTTGACTCAAAAAAACAAAGAACACTTCATAACAAGGTGGAGGATGGCTTGGAGAGGAATTCATTCCTTTCAAGTAAGCCTGGAGGGAAGAATCTAGTTAGAAGTTGCAATAATTCTCAATGGACTCAATGGGAACCCCAACTACAGTGGTACCCGCTGGAGTGGAGAAAAGTGGAGAAATTGGTAAGTATTTCAAACTGTAACTGCATGTAAATATGGAAAGATTCTTATTAAGGCAGACAATGTGTGAATTTGATTTTTAAAGAGAATCAATTCTTTAAGTGAGGTGACATCAACAACACTAATTCTCAAAAGCAATTGTTTTCTAGATTCTTATCCATCATGCTTAGTTTCCTTTGTCAGTTTTCCAGACTGCGTCATTTTCATTTGGCATCTAGAATTCTTTGCCAAAATGTTGCTATGCTGAGGAATCATAAAATAAAGCTAAAATCACATCATACAGAATAGCCATTCACTGCCTGTAAATTGTTCACTGTTTGCAAGGTGCCCATCCCAGTTTCTGTTCACGGTTTCTATGGATAGAAGCAGTATTTCACAGAGACCTAAGATGAAGAATATGTTTGAACTTTTACTCTAGCTTTGCTATTCACTCCTGCAGCGTCTTTAACTAAACTAAGGCCATCAGTAAGCATCAACCTGATCAACCCAGGAAGTCTGGATTTGTATCTTCTACCACTCCTCAAAAGGCACAGTGCCCTAATAGATACCCTCCCTGACTTCCCAGCCCACCCTTCTCCCTAAAAAGAAACCCCGAGGAAGTGGTACAAAGAATCCTGGGTTCTGTGGAAAAGTATAGACTAGCTACCATTGTTCCTTAGGAAACCAATTAAGGTCACTAAGTAGTTCATAGTCACAGAATTAAACAATCTTTAATAAAGTGGTAAGCAAGCTGCTTTCCCCTCCTCCATTTTCCTTTGATCCTTTCACATTATAGTAAGGATATAACTTAGTGTCAGTCTATCTTGCAAGTCTTCCAACCTTTGCCAAATCTGTTCACCAAGGGTAACACAAAAGGATGTCTCAGGCTCAGACCATTCGGGGCAGGTAACAGTATCTACTTGATTTTAACAAAGATATGTCTCCTTTTTAAAAAATGGTATATAAGGGAAACTAAATAACAGTACAGGTCAGTGGTTCACATTGTGTAGTCCCTAAACCACAAGCAAAAACATCAGCAATACCTGGAAAATTGTAGGGAATATAAAACTCTAGGGCTTGGAACAACCAGTTTTAATGAGCCCTACAGGTGTACCTCCTGTATACTAAAGTTTATGAAATACTGGTATAAGTGATAAAAGAAACTGCACAATCATAGTAGTAGCAAATCATGTTAAAAAGATAACAAAATCATGAAAATAACACAAATACCTGAAGTTTGAAAATTACCATTTTAAAGCAACACTGCTATATCATCATAATCAACCTTTATGTAAAAAAAAAAAAAAAAGACACTCTCCCAAAAAGAAATTAAATTTGACTATGCTATCATAACACTTCATTATTCTCTTCCAGAAAGCTTCTAGCCATATCATTGTGAAACAGCTAATCTTTACTAAACATGGCTTTGTCTTAGGGAAGGAGTCATCATGTCATAATGAAAGTGCCGGTTTCCATCAGCTAGTGTATAAATGCATTTAGCATTCATTAAAATGGCAAAATTATTCTAAAATAGTCAAAATGATGGTTTTTATTTGGTCTTCACTTGATTTTAAGGCATCTTTGAAATACCATCTTCTTTTTCCTCCTTCTCAGTCTCACTTGTGGAATCCTCTGTGTCCCAACATCTAAACAGTGGAGGGTATCTGGACTCAATCCCTGGCTTCCTTCTCTTCCCTCCCTACAGTTAATCATAGGTGATCTTACCCAGTCTCACAGCTTGAAATCCCATATGGATACTGATGGCTCCCAAATTTGTGTCTACATCCCTAACCTATTCTCTGAATACTAGACCCAACATATCCAACTGCCTGCCTACATGTCCTATTAGATGTCTAATAGGCACTTTAACCTATATGCCCAATACACATATCAGGATAGCTCACTCCCTCACATCTTTCAACTCTTTGTTCAAATGTAACTTCTACAGAGAAGCCTTCCATGACTATCCTATGTAAAATGAACCTCTCTTTCTCACTCTCAATCCCATAACCCTTTTTAATTTTTATTACACTCATCACAAACTGCTATTTAAATTTATTTATCTGTTTTAGGTAAGCTCTATAAGAGTAGAGTCCTTGTTCAGTTTTACCCTCAGCACATAGAACATACTCAAACATTTATTAAAGAGAGGAAAAGAATATTGTGGAAGGATGTATGTTTGAAGGATAAATGTATAAAGGGCTTTTTAGCAATGCGTAATACAATTGATGAAAAGATACTTACTTTTCCTTCTTTTCTTGTTTGTGGGCCTCTCTTGTCATTTGAGCTGCTTTTCTACTATATGGATGGATGACTTTTTTTTCCCGTCCTGCACTTTTTCCCTTTGGTGCTTTAGGCTAAAATATACAAAAACACATAAAATATAGTATGATATATAAGTGACTCCAGTCACAAAATTTTCTTTAAAAATAAATTTTAAAAACATTAATATAACAGAAATGCAGTGAGCCAGAAATACTACACGAGAAATCAGGAGATAAATCAGACTTGTTAAATAATTTTAAGCCTTTGTCTCCATGGTCATAACAGAAATGATATATTTGGAACTACTTTCCCATGATATAAGAGAATAAAGAAAGGCACAGAAGGGGTTGATAAACTCGGCTTTTCAACTCTTCCATCTTCAAAGTAGTGAGGAGACTCAGGGCCGGAAATCTGTGTTACAGTTAAGAAGATTAAAGGGGTAGAAGGAACACAGGTTATTAGTGGGAGTTTGACTGCAGAAGCTGCATGTGGAACAGAGTGGGCAGTGAATCAAGCAAAATAAAAGTTAGGCTGATGGCCTGTGCAAATGAGAAACAGAGAAAATAACAGAAGGTATCTCAAAATTAGCACATCCAAAAGGGAACAACTTATTTTCCCATTCAAGCTTTATGCCACTTAACTAGGTCACAATTCATTCAGTCTTCCAAACTAGACATCTCGGTAATTTTTTATTACTATATAATCCTATATCTTATCTATATTATCTCACCTATATTATTTAGAAATCAGGTTTGGCTCTCTGCAACAGAAACCCAAAATAATAATGGCTTAATCCAGATAAAGTTTAGTTCTTTCCTGTTAGAAGTAGGAGCTGGAGGCTCTGCTCCACGAAGCCCTCAAGGATCCAGAAAATGGCCAGAAAGCTCAGCATCCTGACTAACTTTGAGAAATCGAAAAAATGCCTCCCTGGGGAAGTAATTTAAGACCTAAAAGACAAGGAGTTTACCAAACATTTCTCAATTTCTAAGCTACAAAATAAACCTACTACCTAATTAATATGGAAGTTAATGTTTAAATCTGAGAATCAAATCAAAATATCCTCCTTGTTCCCGAAACAAGAAAACTAGTATGAAATGATATAGTTCAGTACTGATTTTGATCCAACATCAAAAAATATTTGCACCACTGCACCATATCTCTGGATATCATTAATCAAATGCTCTTTGTAACAAGACAATGAAAATCAAAAATCCATAAAAGTTGAATAACAATTATCTTCCATACCATTATTTTTCGATGGCAAAATGGCAAGAAATAGTAAACCTAAATAGAAAATGAAAAGAGAAGCATTAAAATAAGCTGTAGGAAAAACACGGATTGGTTTTAATTCTTTTAACTTCAGTCAGAATGTTCCAACCAAAGTTTGAAAGAAGAGTTTAAAGGTAACAAGTTAGAGTAAGATATCTGACATTTTAATTGTTTTTATAAATTACAAAAACACTGTATTGTCTTTAAAAATAGACAGTAAGTCTAGTAAGAGTAGTGGTGTAGTTTGAACTCACTTCACATGCAAAACCATTTAGATATACCTGGAACAGTAATAGACGAAATTAATATGTGACTAAGTGATACTTCTACCAAAGATTAGGATATCATATTTGGGATCATAACGAAATAAAGACATAAATATCAAGGAAAGACAGAAAGGACTACCTCTCTCCAGAGATAGTTAAAGGGAAGTATAGTCTTCCAAGGGTATTGAGATGGGAGGTAGTAGAGAAATAAAGGTGATCTGCCTGAACAATTTTAGTGCTAAAGTTCCAGGATAAGAATCTAAATGCTTACTTGACTTAACTTTGAAACAAAGGAACTTCAAAAAATTATTCCTGGTTCACACGCAAAATAGTTCATATTTTTTCTAACTTAAAATCAATAGTCCTTGCTTCTGTCTCTACTGTAATATGGTACTGGCATCCAGCCACTGGAATTCTAACATGCATTCATGCTTATCCCTTTTTCTGGGTCTTTTTTAGAAGTTAAAAATAAACAAAAAAATTCTGGCTCAAATCAATTCGACAAGTTTACTGTATTTCTATTTAAATTAATTGCTCCTAGGGGAAAGAGATTTTCTTGTTGGCCTGGCACTGAAAAGGAGCAGGGTAATAGGCTATCTAAAGATCTAAATGAATAATGACTCTGTCCCAGTTCCTGTAAGAGGCGCTCTTTTTCACTGACAAACAATTATACAACAAAAAATAAGGCAGTCTTATTTGGGGCAATTCACCAACCACCATGACCACCCCAGCACACACATAGCTTTAAAAAACTGTTATCAAGAAATAAATAGTAGATAAATAAATTCCAAATTTCTTAGGTATTCAAATTAGAATATTTCATTTGCAAGTCAGTTACTGGAACTCCAAATGTACTTTTGGATTAGTATTAGTAGTGATTTAGAAAATAATCACTACTAATCAAGCTTAGGCTTCAGAGTGCTGAACATAAAGTAAATGTTACAAAAATAAATAAATAAATAAAAAGTGCATATTATGTAATGAAATAAGACAAAGAATAGCATTTGATGACAATTCATCCTCTAGATCACAAAAGTTTAGCTGAGCTAGTTACTTATTTTTTGGTAACATTTTCTGTGTTCTGGTTTTAGATTAGCATTAAGTATTTCAAGCACTCAAAAAATGTAAATAAAGTACAGTTGGCCCTCCATATCCACAAGTTTTGCATCTGTAGGTTTCCCATCCACAGATTCAATCAACTGCAGATAGAAAACATTTGGAAAATAAAAACAATACAAAATAACAATACAATAAAAAAATACAAATTCAAAAAACAATATATTATAACAACTATTTACATAGTATTTGCACTGTATTAGGTATTATAATCTAGAGATGACTTGAAAGCATGTGCATAGGTAAGGGACCTCGGCACGCGTGGATTTAGGTTTTCAAGGGGGTTCCGAAACCAATACCCCTCAGATATCGAGAAACTAAAAAGCATATAAATCTCTGAAATATTTGATACATCACTCCACACTCTAAGCTCCTCCTAGATCGCATTTAAATATAAAAAATGAAACCATGTAGATCTTAGAAGAAAATATTTTGTTTGTAGATGAATCGCAGAGTGAGAAAGCTCATTCTAAACATTACATAAAATCCACAAGATTTAAAAGAACAAATCTAACTATATAAAAATGTAAAATTCTGAACAACATATAAACCAAGCCAAAAGACAAACTACAAGAAAAAATATTTGCAACACAAACAAAAGAGCTAATTCCCTTAATATAAAAAAGTTATTATAAGATTAGTAAGAAAAAGATCAGCAACCCAAAATAAAAACAGAAAAAAAGAATACAAGCAAGTCACAGAGTAAAAACAAGTGTTTTTTAAAAGTTTAAAAAGATGTCTAACTTAAAAGAAATGTAAGTTAAAACTTCAAAAAAATAGAATTATCAATGTATACGACTAACAAAAAAATTTCTAACATTGCATTAGGAAGGGTGTGGGTGCAAACTGGTACAGACTTCTAGAGCAATGGCCCCAACCTTTTTGGTACTAGGGACTGTTTTCATGGAAGACAATTTTTCCACGGCCGGGGGGTGGGGAGGAATGGTTTCAGGATGATTCAAGCGCATTACATTTATTGTGCACTTTATTTCAATATAATTATTACATTGTAATATATAATGTATATAATGAAACAATTATACAACTCATCATAGGTTGGGGACCCCTGTTCTAGAGGGCAATTTGACAGTCCCCATCAAGATATAAATGGCACATGTCTTGATCAAGGAATTATATTTCTATTAATTTATTCTATAAACACATTTACACACGTACCAAAGGGGAAAAAAAGAAAATAATCAATGAAGCATTGTCACAGTGTCTATAGCAGCAAAAGAATGTAAACAATTTAATGGTAATCAGAGATCTGGTTAAATAAATGATAGTAAAAACAAGCAATAGAATATTAACTGTTTAAAAAGCAAGAGGTAGATCTATAGGTACTTGCATGGGTTGATCTGAAAGATAAGATAAAAAAAAGCAAGGGGCATAGGAGTGTGTATAGTGTACTATTTATATAAAAAGGGAAGTTAGGGAACATACATATATGCTGGAAAATGCATATAAAAAATCTGAATAGCTAAGAAAACGCTAACAGTGGCTGTTTCTTAAGTGAACTGGGGCCTCAGACAACAGAGTTGGAAAAAAGACTTACTTTTTGTGGTAAGGAAAATAATACCTACCCCCTCCAACAAAAAAGTCCATGTCTTAATTCCTCTGGAACCTGGGAATATATTACTATTCAAGTAAAAGGGACTTTGCAAATGTGATTAAAGAGCTTGAGATGGAGAAATTATCCATGCAGGGCTAATATAATCCTAAAGGTCCTTATAAAGAAGGCAGGAAGATCATTGTCAGAGAACACATGACCTTCTGTGGAGGAAGATTTAAAGATGCTATGCTGCTGGCTTTGAAGACGGGAGCTACCAAGAGCCAAGGAATGTACGGATGGCCTCTAGAAACTGAAAAACGAAGGAAATATTCTTCACTAGAGCCCCTGGAAGGAAACCAGCCCTGCTAACACCTTGATTTTTATCTCAGTAAGACTCATTTTTGGACTTCTGACTTCCAGAAATGTAAGAAAATAAATGTGTTGTTTTCAGCCATTAAATTGGTATCCATCTTTACAGCAGGCAATAAGAAACTAATACACTTTTCATGAACAACTATTACTATTTTTTTAAAACCATGTACATGTAATAGTGTTCCAAAAAAAGCTGGTGTACTAGGTAGATTTTTGTTAATGTTTTTCTTTAGTTTTATTAACTTTCAGAAGCAAGTTTTTTACTAGCAGATAATCTGAAATTTATTAAACTGATTTGTTGTTGCAGCTCACATAAGTATGAGCCCAACAACACATAATTCCTGCCATTAAGGAATTTTTAGGTAGTCAGTAATGGTCAATGCATGTGCATAGACAAATCAAGAGAGGATGACAGCACACTTTTTAATGGTTTATAATCTAGCTAGGGAGGAAAACAAGCACACTTAGGCTCTCTAATATCAGGCTTACATAAAAAGGAGTATACTTGAGTGCCCAGTAGTACGTAAGCACTAAAAACCTTTTTAATGCACAATAAAGAAGTACTGAGTGGGATGGATTAATTTGAAAAGATTCTTCATGTAGTTAAATTCTGATCTAAGAAAAAGATGTAAACTTACTGAGCTCCAGCATAGATTCACAATAAGAGAACACAAATGAGCAAAGTAATAAAGGTGGACAACCACAAGCTGTACTCTTTACTATTTATTTCTATTAGGGAAGTTAATAACAACACCTAATATTTACTAAGTGCTAGACAATGGGCTAAGCCTTTTACATTTACTTTTCAGAACAATTCTATGAGATAGGTACTACTGTTATGCCAACTAAACAGACGGTAGGTTAAGTAATTCCAAGATGGTTATTTAGCAAAGACAGGTCCCAAACTCAGTCCTCTGGGAACACATTGTGAGCTGTACTTAAAGAAGATGCTGCAGAACTACTGATGATGATATATAAATGACAGGGCCAGAAATGTGCCAATGAGCACAGATCTATATGTCACCCTTTTGACTTTTATGCCAAGGCGATATACTTACTTCTACTACATAGCTTGACAAAAGTGAAGCTCTGATAGTTAAGGACAACTGCAGTTAAATGCCAATCAACCTCCCCAATCACACATACAATCACATGTAACTGCTTTAATGTTCCACTCTAAAAAGGAAAAGAAAATTATAAAGGGTTGGAAATCATACAAGTATAGTGATAGGCAAATGCTGAATTTACACAAATGTGTATAATCTAATGCAAAGCAAAAACCAAAAAAAAAAAAAGACTATAGACAGACAAGAAAGACAAAAATGGCATAAAACGAAAAGGAAAAAAGCAAAAGAGAAAGAAAGGAACAAAGAGGTTCCATTGTAGCCAAAGTGTCATAAATTTTTTACCAGACTATAAATGTTTTTGATTGTTTTTACTAAAAACTAACCTAACAATGAGTATTTAAAACATGCTCCAATTCAAGAATGAGTCTAAAGAACATAATGATTAAATGAAAAAAAAAAAAATCCGTGAAGAAAGAACACACTGTTTTGGAATACAAACATATATGGTAACTATAAAGAAAAATAATGGAATTATAAACACAAAATTTAGATACTGTTTACCTCTGAGGGGTTCCTGAAGGTCACAGGTTCAAAGAAGAGAACACAGAGGCTTTCAGAGGCTATGTTTTATTTCTTAAACTATATACTGGGTAAAGGCGAGTTCTTTATACTACCCATCTTTAAACTTAAATGTGTTTTATAAATACTTTTCTAACTACTCAATTTTTAATAAAAACAACAAAAAAAATTAAGTACCCTGGCGGGAATGAGGGTGAGGTGACCAAAGAGGCAGGATTTGGGGCAGGAATGGGTCAGTAATCGGCGATGAACGGACGCCGAGAAAGAAGCCATTGAGCTCAGAGGCCACACGGGCCAGAGGCGGCACAGGTGTGCGGGGCCAACGCTCTCAAAAGTTTTGCCGAACTCCCACATACGTTTACCAGTGTGCATCTCCAATACAAAGATGCGGGTTGCCCACTCCCACCCCTACCCAAGGGGGCAGTGACTAAGGAGAAGCTAGGCACGAAGCAAAGTGTGGCAGGGCGGCAAGTGAGCACTAAAGCACTCAGACACAGAACTCTAAGGGTCTAAGGTCCGGACGCTGGACCTGGGACCCGTCTCTTTGCTTCGCCCCGCACTCCCACCCCAGCTCCACCGCCCAATATATTCACTTTGCATCCTCCCCTTGCCCGGTTCCCGAGACCGCTCCCTCCCTGCCTGCCTGCTTGACAGGAGCCTTCCAAGGAACCAACTGAGAGGGTTCAAGGAAGCAGGAGGGGGCCCACCATGCTGACGTCCTCGCGGCCACGGAACACCTCCGCACTCTGGACCGGGGCAGGCTCACCAGTCGCAGCCCCAGCACCTCCCGCGAGTACCGCGGCCCGAACACACGTGGGGCCCGAACAGCCGGCGCAGACTCTACCGGAAGGGGAGGGGCGAGTGCAGTTCTGTAAAACGTCCCCGGAAACTAAGACTTCGTCTTTTTCTCCCGTGTTGGATTTCAAGCCCTAGGCGAAGGGCGTGCTATCTTTCCGTGCTCGCCGGGTGCGGTGAGGGAGCATTCGGCGAGAGGCTGAAATTGGCCAGGCGCTGAGAGCGAGGGTAGAGATTTGAACCCGGCTCGCAGGTGTTCCTCGTTGCCGGCTAGTTGCGTTCTGGCCTCGAGACCAGAGCTTGGGCATCTGTCCCGGTGCAGGACTCCAGAGACAGCAGCCTTTTCAAACAAGAAGTTCCCTCCGGCGGCTCCGCATCTCGGGAACTGGTCCCGCCCTGGAGGGCTGCTCCGAGATGGCCCGCGCCCTAGAGCGGCAGACAGTCCTGACTCCTGCTCTTCCCTGTACCGCATTACCGTGGGCAAGTCCTTTCCCCCACTGGGTCTCAGATTCTTCATCCGAAAAGTCCCCTTGCTCATATTCAAGGGCCCTTCCAACCCAGTATTTCTGTTCTTCTCTTACAGTATGAGAGTCTTTGTTTCACCTATACTTGTTAAAATTCCATACACAATGTATTCCTTCAACAAATATTTGTTGAATGCTGCTATGTGCCAGGCCTTGGGGCTACTCCGACAATATCACTGCCCTCCTCAGCTCATATTCGGGGTTGCGGGGTGGACATAAAAACAAATCAATAAATATTATTTCAAATAATATAAGTACTCTAAAGAAAATAAAGCCAAGGGGGTGAGCCGGAAAGTTGTTTTACACGTAGTGGTCTCTAAAATCCTCTTTTAAAAGCGATAACTGAGCAGAGACTTGAATTATAAGAGAAAACTAGGCATGGGAAAAAGTACCAAGCAGAGTGAACTTGAGTGTACCTAGATGTGTGTGTGCCTAGTACGTGTATTTAATCAACGAATATATCCATTGTTTAAAATTCTTTAAATTGTAATCAAGAGTGTGCAGCCAGAAGATTCTTGCATCTAGGGGCAAGGTATTTTCACATGGCTTTTAAGTGGGTGAAAGTATTAATACATGTTGTATGAACATATTCAATTAGGGTTAACCTGGAATACATACTGTGGAGAGAGAGTGTAGTCTAAGGACAGGGATGCTTTCTGAGAAATGCATCCTTAGACGATTGTATCTACTAAAATCATAGCGTGTACTTACACAAACCTAGATGATATAGCCTACAGCTGTATGGTATAACCTATTGCTTCTAGAGTACAAACCTTAGCTACATGTTCTAACCGCTTGCTGGGAAGCCATCTTTCACCCACTGTACCCCATTCCCTAAGTCTGGCCTCCTGTAGATCAGCCTCCTGAGTTCTATATTACCGCAAATCTGTTAACCATTAAACCCTCATTCTGGCTGTTTCAGCAGTTCCTAATTGTTCTATTGATCACAAAATTCCTACCTATTCCTACCCCATTCCTAAATTTCAAATTGCCAATTCAATAAACCATATATCCTGAGACTTTTATTTCTTAATTTTAGTTGGATTTTGAAAATAAAAGACTTCATATTTTCCTCATTCAAATTCAACGCCTAAGTAATATTGATTATGGACACGTTCAAAATACACTGTATAAGTTCAAAATACATTGTAGCAAATGCAAAAATGAATTGTACAGAGTAAAATAGCAATAATGATGGCTAATATTTGATCATACTTTCATGTGGACATGCACCACTGTGATAGGAAAATGAATCCCCCTGCTTTTCCCCTTCAATTCATCTCCCCTTCATAACTGTGTAGATGATTTGGAGACATCTTAAAGATATTTTTCTGTACTTTAACAAATATACTAAGATGTGTGTATATGTCTGTGTGTTGTATGTATGTATAAGGGTTAAGTATTGACTAACATTAGGTATTGATACAATAAAAATACACGCATAATTTCTAGGTTAACCACTAAAAGAAAAGAAACAGGATACTTTGTACAGGCTACACACAAGTAGAGAAAATAAGATAATTGGAATGATTAAAAAATAGATAATTCAAATTAAGGAAATAAAGGAGGAAAAAGATGAAAGATTGAATAGTAAGGAAATTTTTTTTTAAGTGGCAGTAAATTTAAATCCATAAAACAGTAGTTACGGACTAACTGCCCAAACTAAAAAATATGTATGTCAGATTAGATTGAAAACATATAACTGTATCCTCCTTATATTTCCTAGAATATAAGGAAATAGAAAAATTAAAATAAAAAATAGAAGGAGATACGCTAAGCAAATACAAACTGAAAGAATGCTGGTATAGATATATTAACGTTATACAAAATAGACTTTAGGTCAACAAGTATTATGCTAGATAGAAAATATCACCTTGTAATGATAAAAGGTTTCCATTTTAAATTCATATGCATCTAGTAATTTCAACATGCCTTTTCCCATAATTAATAGTACAAGCAGATATCACCAATGACTTAGAAGACTTGACCACAACACAATTTGACTTAACAAATCTGAACAGAATACTGCTGCTAGTGCTTACAAGAATACATGTGTTTTCAAACAAGTGTAGTTAACAAAATTGATCATACATTGGGTCAGAAAGCAAGTGTAAAACAAAGCTGAAAGGATTGAAGGCACACAGAAATGTTCTTTGACCACTGTGTAATTAAATTAGAAATCAATAACAAGAAGCTAGCTAGAGAAATTCCATATATTGAGAAATTAAGAATTATACTTCTAAATAAGTCATGGGCTAAAGAATAAATCAAAATGGAAATTAGAAAATAGTTTGGGATGAACAATAACAAAAATATTAAATATCCAGACTTATGGGATGCATCTGAAGTAATAATTAACTCCTTTAGTGTAAATATTAGAGCCTTAAGTATAAGTATTAGAAAAGAAGAAAGATTGAAAATTAACAAACTAAGCATCCACACGTCAAAAGGTTAGAAAACAGAAAAATAAAATATATTCAAAAAGAAGGTAGAATAGAATAAAGAGCAGAAATTATTGAAATAGAAAAAACATTTATAATTGAGGAGACCAGGAAAGCCAAAAGTTGAGTTTTTTTAATGAATAAGAAAATTGATAAATCCTTGAAGGGGATTGAGAGAAGACCCAATTAACCAATATGAGAATTAAAACAAGTTATATCAGTTAAGATTATGCACGCATAAGAGGATATTATAACCAGATGTGTGCTATTGAATTTTTAAATGTAGAGAAAATGAACAAATTCTTAGGAAAAAAAAAACTATCAAAACTTACACCAAGGAATAGAAAACTTGAATAGTCCCCCAATCATTTTTTAAAAAATGATTACCCAAATATCTTCCCATGTTAAAATTACAGGCCCAAATTTCTTAGATTTTATAAATACACATAAATAAGAATAGAAAAGCAATTCCTTAATATGATAAAAAAGTGGATTAGAAATTGTGATAGTGGAGATCATTGTCTTATTCTTGATCTCAAAGAGCAAATTTTTTAAACCACTTTGGAAAACAGTTTGGCATTATCTAGAAAATCGAAATGTGTACATCTTCTAAGACAGCAGTATCATTCCCAGGTTTATACCCTAGAAGAACTCCGACACATGTTTCTCAGGATACATATATAAGAATAGCGGTGTTGTTCACAATAGCAGTGCTATCCATAGAAGTGTTGTTCATAATAACCCAAACTAGGAAAAAAAAAAAAACAACCCTAATTTTTCATTGACAGAAGAGTAGAAAAATAAAGTGTGGTAAACTTTATATAGCAATGAGATGAATGAAGTATAGCTATGCTAAACAACATGGATTAATTTCAAATTGTAATGTAAAAGAAGCAATGCACAAAAAATACAGTATAAATCCATTTATTAATATATACATTTCAAAAGCAGGCAAAATCAATTATGCCACAATTACTAGAGATACTTTTCACAGGTGGCCAGCAATATTTTTTAACCTGTGTGGTGATTACCTTGGTGTTTGCTTCATAATTACTCTTTATGCTTCACATTTACATTTTATGCATTTTATATTTATATGCTATGCCTCACAATAAAATACATTAACTTTTTTAAGCCGCAAATATATTACTTCATTGTCTCTTGAATCCAGTATTACTATTGTGAAGACTCATGTTTATTTAATTTTTGTTCCTTTGTGGGTGCTGTAATTTTGTTTGAGGAATTGTTTAATAATTACTATTGTCTTTGCTCTTCTTCGATTTCACAGTATGTGTCTAGGTATTGGTATTTCCTTATATATATTTATATATATATATATATACTCATATATATATATATATATACTTATATATATATATATATCTTTGGTACTCTGTGTCTCCTTTCAGTTTCATTCTGGAGTTTGTATTATCCATATATTAATAATTCTGTCTGTCCTGTATTTTAGCCCTTCTTTTATATTTTACATCTCTTTATTCATTTCTGCTGCCCCCTGGGAGGGCACTTAATTTTATCCTCTGGTTACTATTTTGTTCTTTGATGTAATCATCTTGCTACATATTCCACCTAATGTCATCTTCAGCTATCTTAGTTTTAAAATAAAGTATTTATACTTTTTTTTAAAAGAAATTTCTTATCTTTTTGCTTGGTTATCAATATTCTTCCTTAATTCTTTTGGATATATATTGTGCTTGTTTATTGGTTCATCTGTTCCAATAAATCTGCTTCATGTGGCAAAATTATTTAATTTTTTAAAGCTTTCTTTTATAGTAGTTGTTCTCCTCAGGTATATAGTTTCTTTGGACCTGTAGCATCACATTTATTTCACTGATGGAATCAACTATCTTGTTCTGTAATGTGTAGTGGGGAAGTGTCAAAGACACATCCTCACCTGTGTCCTTTTTGGAAAATTTGCCGAGATGGAAGGGTTAAGTCTCAGAGGCAGAGCCCTAGGGACCGCAGAACCCCTGCTGACAGGAGAGGTGGAGGCATGAATATGCCCGGGCCTGTTCATCCTGCTCCTGTTTCTATCAGCTCCTTACTTTAGCCTAACCTTGTGCTTCTCTGGTAGTGCCT